GTTTCGAAGGGGTACAGATTTGCTACGAGGGCTGTAGGATGGAGCACTGCCATGGTGTGTGTGCTTCTGTTTATACCTAGGGAAAAGTTATGGGATGGCAGATTTCAGGGGAACACTGGGAGATACTTCCTCTGAGAAAAACCACAGTAGACCCAACGGTCAAGAGGAGCGATGAGCTAGGCTCTCCTACACAGAAGGTCCTGGTTTCTTCATTTGTAGTTGGAATCTTTCATGGGACCCACAGAAGAAAGAGGAGCGGCCAAATCTGTGTTTTTTACGTAAGCCAGCCTTCCAGCATTCCCGACAATGATCCGCTGTAATCTTTGTCAGCAAATTGTGCTTCCCACAGCTTTTGTCATTCACTGCTGGCACCTGACGAAGCTGTTCACCCCGACCACCCCACCCCACCTTCCAGCTACCCAACTTGCCGTTGCTAGCCTCTTGTTTCTCTGCAAATAGGCTCAGATTGTTAGATCCCAGCTCCCAAACAGTTTCTCAGTCCAGGATTAATTAAGCGAATCTTGAGATCTAATTAAGGAATGGTCTGGTGATAATTACCAGGAAATGTATGCATTAAATATATTCATTTGTCAATGAAGTGTAATTAAGAGCAGTGTTTGAGGAAGGATCAATACCCGCGTCATGTGATTTGGAGATGGTGAGGGGAGAGAGAGATTAAGGGAAAGACTCTCTTCCCTGCATGAATCAAAATCCGAGAGAGAGAGAGAGAGAGAGAGAACAGGAGACTGAAGACAATCCTTCGCCTTCCTTGCTTTGCTTTCTTAATAACTCATGCCTTACACTCCACATCCTCGAAGAGAGTATTGCTCTCTCTCCCTTCCTTTGTTTAGCTAAACCATTTGTTTCACTCCCTTGTTCCTTGCTGCATTGTTCAAGTGGTTATAGATTTATTAGAGTGGGGAAGAGTGACAGGTCAAAGAGAGAGGGGCAGAGAAAGAGAGGGTCTCGTCACCAAAGAAAGCCACTTCCTCACAGAAAATGCCGTTAATCCAGAGAACATGGCTCTTATTGTGAGACCTCGGTGCATTGGGAGATTGGCTTCCTTAGCATATTAATCCCGCACTCTTTATGCTTGATTAATGCGGATCTGGAGAGGCCGTTTTCTACATGTGAAATAGAAGGTTACAAGAAGCAAAAGAGGGGTTCTCCCAAGCTGCGCTCCGCCAGCAGCGATGCACCCTTGACTTCACGGGCAACACAAAATCCAGTTGCCCACATGCAACCTTTGACCTCTGTCTGCAAAAACCTGGGTTCTGATCGCCTGCTCATAATTGAAATCCACCACGGAAAGCAAAGGGAATCACTGGATTTGGGAAATGATGTCCCAGGCAAGGACACCGAACTCATCTTCTAGCAGGAATGGCGGCACACGCGCATGGAGCAGTGTGAGCAGTTCAGAGCAAATCCGCTCCCGCTACCCTTGCATTTGTGGCGAGCTGGGATTCCTCCTTTGCACATTGAAAAGATCTTTTTCCTTGCAACGTGTGCTTTATTGACCACAGAGCGCCCAGAACGAATCACTGAGTGTGCGCAGAGTGGCGTGTTCAACCCAGCCTAGCATTCCCCTCCGGGAACTCTCTCTAGGAGCACGCCTGGGCCCCGTCCCTCTGGGAGGGGCCTCTGAAAATGAGCATGCCTCCTGTCTGCATGCAAGCCATCTCATTGGCCCTCCCTCCTCTGCTGCTGTCCCATCCTGGGGTCAACAGTTGGGCCTGCCCAGGCTGTGTCCGAGAAAATCCCCTGCTCGGAGTCCTTCCCCCGCAGCCAGCTGTACATCTTGGTTCTTTCCAAGACCAGGTCGCACCTGGGAGGGCTAGGTCCTCTCATCTCAGTGTCTGGATCTGGCCCTCATCCCAAGCCTCTCCACCCCTCTTCTTCCTTCTCCTCCCCTGAAGTCAAGCCAGCAGCCCTGAGTACGTGCACCCATCTTTCTTTCTCACTTCCAACACATTGCGAGATAATAAGGAAGGATGTGTCTTCTCTTCTAACCTGGGAAGCTAAACTCTGCAGCATCTGGAAAGGCCAGGGATGCTGCAGAGATGCAGTCAGCAGAATAACACTGGATGGGCATCCATGGGTCACTAACCAAGAAGTTTCTTCAGCCTTGATACAGCCTTGGGCCGCAATGTGCACACAAGAACTCTTGTGCCCGGGATAGCGCTGTACATACCCAACTTCACCAGGATTTACCAAACCCATCCAGTGGGGTCCAGACAGGTGTCATAACATGGAAGGATGCTAGAGAGGTCCTGATTTTGTTGAATTGTTCTGATTGTGATTCATGGATCAGTGGGGTGAGTTTTCTTCGGTTGTCCACTCACTGATAGAACCAGATTGCTTTTTAGGGATCTACAGGAATTTCATTCCACTTGTGTATGTGTACATTCACACTGATGTGCATTGTGTGAGAGCACACTCCCATTAATTAGAAACATAGAAAGACAGTGAGTCAGAAGGGGCCTCCCGGGCCATCTAGTCTGACCTGTAGCTCCAGCCAGATCCATTCATGGCATGCCTACCATGTGCATGTCCAGCCTATCCTTGAACTTCCTCACCGATGGGACTTCAACCACCTCCTGTGGAAGCCCATTGTGGTCCTGACCATCAGGAAGTGCTTCCTGGCATCACCCTGAATCTTGGTTCCCTGAGCTTTGTTCCACTGGAATGCATCCTGCCCTCCTCTGCAGGGGAAAACAGGTCTCTACCCACCTCCATGTGGCACCCCCTCACATACCTGTGTGCCTCTAACAGGTCCGCTCTGAGTCTCCTCCAGGCTGAAGAGACCCAGCTCCCTCAGTCTCGCCTCTTATGGCTTCCCCCGCAAACCGGCCACCATCCTAGTGGCCCTTCGCTTCCCCGATTCCAACCTTGCTATATCCCGCTTGCAAATGAGGCACCCAGAGTTGAACACAATACTCCAGCTGCGGGTGCACCACAATCGTACAAAGTGGCAGTAATACCTCACATTAGCACAAGTGCAAATTCACACAGATTTACCCAAAGTTAAAAAAGAGGGGGATGGTAGAATCTGTGCAACTACAAAAAAGAAATATGAGCATATCTAAATCCATTGCAGCTTCCTCCTCAGCGGACTCCCCAAGCTGTAAATGCCTCAGCTCCAAGCCAGAGAAATCACCTTTTCCATGAGCGCCTCCGACGCTGACTGAGTTCCGAAGACACTCAAATACATTTAGCAAGTCCTTTGCAGAAACCCGGAAAAAACTGGAACAGGCCAAATATGTTCTTTTATCTCTGTAGAGTTCTCTGCCTTGGTGTTTTTGAAGTAAGTAGGAGACGCATCAAAATGCACTTCTGAATGGAGAGGCTGGCATTTGCTCCTAGTGGGATGTGAGCCCAGCAGTTCATCCCAATGTGCTTTCCCATCTTTAGCTCCCCAGCTAGCTTGCAAGCAAGCTCATCCGATGCATCCAGGACAACCTGCCCCTCCCCCCATGCGAAGTTAAGTTGGAGAGAGAGCCTAGACCACATTAAAGGAGCATTGCTCCCCACCTTCCTGCCTGGTGCAGCCCACTATGCCCCCCTCAAAGCCTTTCATGAGGGTGGGCTAATAACTCAGTGGAAACGGGTTGCAGAGTACAGGCTAACCCTGCAATGCAATCAATAGTGAATCAATCTCGAGCAGCAAGTCTCCCTCCTCCTGTATGTGCTACCCAATGTTTGGCAGTCCTTTGCTGGACGCCACCCCAGATCCATTAGCCAGATCTGAAGATTGCTGTAGCGCCCCCTAGCAGCACTTCTTGGCTTTTGTCCAGAACGCTTCTTCCACCAGGGGAAGGACGATGCTCGTGGAAAGAGACACTCCAGAGCAGATCTGGAAAACCCGCAAGGGCTCAGACGAGGAGCAGGAGACCTCAAAGTCCTATTCCACATGGGCTGTTCTTCTGTTGCTGGAAGGGCAACGCTGGGGCCAACTCTTTCATTTCAGGAATGCTGGGGTGCTGGCACTGCTGCACAGGGGTGGCACAGAGCTGGCTCCACTGGAGGTCTTTCACAGGAGCTTTGTCCAGGATTTGGTTGGATTCCTTGGGGGCCCTGAGGTGCCAAAGCAGGAGGACAGGCTGGGCTTCTTCCAGTCGTACCCAACCATCAGTCCATTGCTGACATAAATAGCTCTTTGAAAGGGGGAGGGTTCAGCAGCTACTTCCAACAGGCTGTTGGACTCAAGAACCTCCTTAGGTACCTTCTGGCCTGAGGAGTTTATGGAAGGAAGGTTACAGCAATTGACTGCTACCTGTCCAAGGGGATGAATCAGGAGGCTGAAGAATGGATCCTCTTCAGGAAAAAATGCCCACAGTTTGGATCCTGTTTAACATCCCACACCTGCACAATGGCAGCCCACATGACGGGTCTTCACAGCGGGGCCAAACAGGAAGGTTTTGTGCCTCTTACACATACCTGAGGCCTTCATTTGTCCATCAAGGGGAAGCAGGGCAGTGGCACTTCCACCTAGAGAGCTGCAAGGAATCCGCTCTGTGTGGAAAAGCCACTGATTCCCTGGTCTTGGCCTCCTGGGCATTGGCCCACTTTCAGCAGCTCGGGGTCTGAGCTCCCGGTGATCATCTCCAGGGATCATGGGATGCTTGCCAGGAATCCAGCCCCACACGCTGCTGGGAGTGTCGAGCAGGGAAGAAGCTTGGCTGCCGGGAATGGGGGCTGGGAAAGGTTGCCAACTGCACAGCCAGGATCCTCAAGTATGTGCAAATCTGCTCTTGACTTGGCTCGCTTTGCAAGGCTGGGACGGGCATGGAAGGAAGTTCACGAATTCCGAAAGGCTTTGTCCCAGTCCTACCCCACCCGTGCGCCAGTCCCACAGTTTCTTCTCCAGACCTTCTGGAAGCAGGGCAGCTGGGTCCCACAGATGATGGTCCAGGCACCCGTGGTTCCCTTGCCCTGTCCTTCCCACGGAGGCCAACAGAGGTCACTAATGGCCGCTCTGCTCTTCTTTTCCCGCACTGCAGGGGGCCTCATCAAGCCTGGTGGTCAAGTTCGCGGACACGGACAAGGAGCGCACGATGCGGCGCATGCAGCAAATGGCCGGGCAGATGGGCATGTTCAACCCCATGGCTATCCAGTTTGGAGCATATGGCGCCTACGCACAGGCAGTAAGTGTAGAAACCGCCTCGGGTCCCCAGATGGGGAGCGTTTCCCCATCCGTTCTGTGCAGCGAGGGGTCCCTACATTCGGAGCATCCCCCAGGCCCGAGAGGTCTTTCTAACCTCACCAAGCATCAAAAAGGACCAATGCAACAAAAAGCGGGGGGGGGGGAGGTCTATTATTGTTGCTGTTGTTGTTTATTTTATTTCCATACCACCCCGCAGCCAAAGCTCTCCGGGTGGTTTACAACAAGGTATAAAACAGAGCAGAGCAGAGCAGAGAGCATAAAACAGCAATGTTAAAAAGTTAAAATTAATTTTAAGTAGCTCAAAAATACATTAAAATGCAATTAAAAGACTTGACAAGAAAAGGAATCAGCAGAATAACCCCCTCATGCCCCTGGATGATAAAGAAGAACTTGTTTAGGCCACCACATAGAAGGTCCTCTCGATCTGGCACTGAAAAAATGGCAAATCTGACACTAGGTGGGCCCCAGCACAGAGGTTGTTCCAAAGATGTGGAGCCACCACAGAAGAGGCCCTGCCTCTAGTTGCCAGCTGCTGAGCCTCTCGTGGGGCTGGCACTTGGCGGACGGCCCCAGAGAGGGAGCATCGTGTTTGGGTAGATCGGAGTGGTAGTTCTTTCACTGCAGAAGGGGGAAGAACTGCAGGCGTGACTGCATAAAAGCAAAGATGCCACAAAAGAGCAAGAAGGGGAGCAGAACTGCTCCGTTGATAGAAGAGGGGTGGGTGCGCTCCACCTCTTCGGGAGCACCATTTGGCTGGGGCTTTGCCTCCGATATCCTGGATTGGATCCAGGTGTGTTTGGGGCAGTATGGAGAACAGCCTCCACCCTTGTGGCCAATGAAGATGCGGGTCCTTTGAAAAACTGAATGGATTTTCAAGCACCTTGGATCGCCCTGAAGAATGATGCTCTTGATCTTGTCTGCCCACGGGTTGTGGGGGGGGGGCAGAGGGGCACAGTTTAAATCCCTCCACCCTTTGCCCCTGCTGTGTGCAAATGTTTACAGGCTTGTGTTTGGGAACAAGTCAGAGCAGAAATGAATCCTCTCCTTGAAATGGTTCTTTGGGTCTTTCATTGCGGAATATTCCCCAGCTCTTCTCTAAATATGCTTTGCATTTCCTGTATCGTTCTCTTGTTTCACCACTTCATATTTAATATAAATATTTACTATCATATGATATCACCTTTCAAAGAGGATAGTATTTAAAAGCTGTCAGAATTTGATCTTATTATGATTTGACAGTGTTGGGTGGTATTTTATATCCAACATTATTTGAAAAGTTTACACATGGTGAGATTTCCTGGCACACCACACAGCATGAAAAGGTGCAAATCCACATGAAAGATGCAGATCTGGCATTTGCAGGTCAAACTTTCAATTAAAAACTGATAATTCTCATTTTGAAAATTTCCACTCAGCATTTGGCCAATTTTGAGTCCTGGGGAATATTCATCTCAGCTACGATTCTGACGCAAGCACAAGACTATTTATTTATAACAGCCAAATCCTTTATGACCTTAAAGATGCAGTTAGCTGCTACGTCTTTTTCTGCTCCAGAATAAGCACATGTGTTTTTCTATTTGTATTAGGATCCTAGTAGGGGGCGGGGGGTAAACTTTTCCCATCTACAATGAACCCAGTCCAGATCATGAGCTCCATGCCTATACTGAAATTGCCGAACGAAGATCCATTTGCTTTAAGCTCGACTTCGGGGTTCTGATATTACCTGTATGTCTATTCTCATCCCTTTTTCTCCACCTGAACTTGCCTTAAAGAAACAAGTAGGAAAATAATGCTATCAAACAGGTCCCAGAAGTTTGACCAGTCCCCCTTCCTGTTCCACATCTGTCCAAGCACTTCAATGCTCTTGCCAGGAATTCATGGCTGTTGTAAAATCCATCCCATGTGCACTTCTCAGATTGCTGGGCACCAGTCATGCCATCATCTGCCCATTAACAGCATCATATTTTGCTATCATATGTATTTGCACAAATTCACAGTCATGGAAATTTGCTGTCCTGAAAATACATATTCTTACAGTATAATCCCACTGTAACCTATGGAGAAAATATGCATTTCTGATTGGTGGGTTGTTGTTGCTTTTCCATATTCTTCTATGACTGAATTTGAATAAAGCTGCAGAAAGGGAAAGGGGTCCAAAGATCTCTGGGATCAGTTCAACTCAAGAAAAGCCAATCCACTGCTGAATTCATGGATTGGAGTCCTAGGAACTTGAACCGATTTGACTCCCTTGCAGGTTGCGCCAACAGCCCTCGCTCTTCCGCCCCCTGTGTGGTAAGGGCTGGTCCCCTCCACATGATAAAGGTTTGGAGATTCCCAAAGACTGGACTGTGACAACAAGCTCCCCCGTGCCAGCAGTCGAGGCAGAATGAATTCCTTAGTGTTTATGCAGCACATCAGGTCATACAAAATGTTGCCCTTCAAGGGGACATGGAGGCCTCAGCCAGCAAAATCCTGCCCAAGATCAGGTTGCCTGGTGTGATTTTCTGATTAAGCCTCATTGAGGGGAAAAAGCAAGGCAGAATTATGCATTGTAAGCATGATGCTCAGTGCTCACAGAAGGAGCACTAACCAAACTGGGGGCATCAATAAGGCACCACCACACCTGGGTGGATCTCAGCTGGTTGTTCTTGAGGTGGGAACTCTTCGATCCATGGGATCCCCTCATGGAGGTGAGGTCAGGTGGCCCCCTCTCTCCCCAGCAGCCTGCGGAGCGGCCATATGCCTGAGCCGACAGACAGCCATCTCTCTGAAGAGCTACCAGAGGACAATCCGCTATCGGAGGGCTTCTTCTAATTGAAGAGCAGCCCAGTCCAAGTCCAGCTGAAAGGTCAAGCACTATCAGAAAGGAGAGCAAAGCCCTTGAGGTTGCCCATGAATAGTCAGCAGCAAGCTCAAAGATCCCCTGGCCTCCCTCTTCACCACCAGATGTATTGTATTTCTGCTTACAGTAGAGTAATTGTTTCTACATTTGCATCTATACATATAAATTAGCAGATTTACATTTCAAATGGCTTCTTATGAAGCGCAGATCAGCCATTGTCTCAGGGGTGATTGATTTCCCTGTTATGAGGTCAGCAGCTTTGTTGCAGTGGCTTCCTTAACAATTGCAATATCTCTGGGAAGGATGCGGGGAGAGAAGGCTGGCTGGAAGGAAGGAAGGAAGGAAGGAAGGAAGGAAGGAAGGAAGGAAGGAAGACTACACCACAGAATGAAAGTTGAAAGGAAGTGCCCACCCCTGCATTGAGACACAAAGCGGAGGAGCAAAACAGCTGCGGCACAGCTGGGGAAGCGGTGGCCTTCCAGATGTTGCCGCTGTTGTCCGTGCAGGCTTGGGCTGCTGGCAGCTGGTGCTCAGCAATCCTGAGGGTGACCAGTTGCCTCACAGCCCTCACTTCCGTGCCCTGTGTGGGCACCATCATTTGGGTGCCCCAGCACAGACTGGTAGCCTTTCTCCCACTTCTAGAGGGATACTGGAGGTTGTAGTTCAGGCTCCACCACAGAACTCTTGGCACTCCACTCAAGTATAATTCCCACAACTGTGAGGAGAGACCACGAGGGTTAAAGTGATTTCTAAACAATGGCCACAATCCTGCAGCGCCTTGCACACACCTGGAGGCTCTGGAGGCCCATCTTAATGCTAGGCTGACACTGGATGTGGCCTCCGATCTCTATGGCAACCCAGGGCTGGTGAACGGATGCACAACTGGCATGAAACCGATGCGGTGTGCATCAAGAGGTGAAGAACCAGGTGCTTCTTCTTTAGAAGGGTCCAAGAAAGGGACCGTTTCAACGCCCCAGTCCAACTCTCTCCGAGCTGATGGTTTCCAGATACGTTGGACTGCAGTTCCCCTCAATGGTCGTGCTGGAGGGAGCTCATGGGAGCGGCAGTCTAAAGCAGTGGGAGGTTAGCACGCTGGGTTGGAGAAGACCACCAAAATCTTCTCCAACTGGCCAACTGGATTCTGCTTCGGCTTGCCAGTTGCATCTTCCCAACCGCTGTGGAGAAAGAGTGCTCTGATCCGTGGATGTTTGCCCAACCTGGCACAATTTTCTCACCAGCTTATGCGCTTAAGGTAGTTGCGGGGAGGGTAATAGAATCAATGAGACATTCATGGCCCCCTCCTCACAGGCAGGCAAACGCGAGGCTGCGGCAGCATGTGGCTTTTCATGGCCTTCTGTCAAACCGAAACATGCGCCGGGAGTTTTACAGGAGCCAGCCGTGACCCTCGGAGAAGCCACCTCACCTGCCATAAATCTTCCCAGAGGTGCATTCCAAGGGCCAGCTCCCTTCTTCATAATTCTTTCTGGCTTCCCAGGATGTGGCGCTTCCCGTCCCAACGTCTTCAGCACGTGCCAGTCCTCATTCGGCTCCCAGCCCATGATCCACTAAAGGAAGAACAGCCCTTGCCAAAACCAGCCTCCTTCCAGGGCAAGAGGTGTTCTCTGCTGCCTCCCTCCCCCGTTGGAGAGTCGGCACAGGCAAAACTGGTCTGGGCTGCTGGGGGACTGATCCACCCACCCCTAAAAGCACAGCTCAGTCATGCCGGGGCATTTGTGCCCTTGAGTGGGCTCGCTCCTTCCCAACCCATCACTCTGCACTGCAGAAAGCTCCCTGAACGCAGGCATAAGGGACTGGAGAAGATCCTTCTCCCTTAGTAAAACAGTTCCTAGTCCTCATGGTTCCAAGCAGTGACTAGCAGCTCCTCATAGTGCTAATTCACATTTTAATGCAAACATCCTGATGCTCAGGTACAGCCTGTCTGGATGCCTGGACTTGCGGGGTGCAGTTATCCAAAGCCAAGTGGCAAAGAGTACTTTCTCCTCTCCATCCTCCTGCCCTGTCCTTTCACAACCTGGCTTGTTCATCCATCTAGTGAAGGAAGTGCCTTCCTCATACCCTGGGGGCTCCCATTCCCCCCCCCCCACCCACCCACCCTCTTTCTAGCTCCTCTAACTATT